AACCTTTACTAAACATCTATTAAGTACCAAGCACAATGGTGATGCCAAGTAGAAAATGATGACAATACCTAGCACAGCAGAGAAGATAGAACCCAGAGAAAACTGCCAACACCAGGTCTCTAGAAACTGTAAGGTCCAAGAAGCAACAAGGGAAGTTCTGGAGGAGCTGGAATTTGAGCTGAGCTTACTTTCTGAGACCTCTGAAGAAACTGTACTGCCTGTGCTTCTCTTCTGCACAAGAGCTGCAGATAGGAAGGGTTAGGTGTGGAAAAAAGAAGCCAGCAGCTGTGAAAAGATTCATCTCACTCCCAGATGGCAATCATTCACATCCCCACTGAGCACCCATTTCCTCTAAGGGGTTCTGGCCATGGCCACAAACCCAAGGGAAAAAAAAGACATTTCCTTTTCAACACTAGAAAAAGTGTAAAATGACCAGTAACAGAGAAAAAAGCATGTTATGAAATAAGTTGCTTAAGTGCTTAGTCCTTTAAAAGAATGTTTGGTACAAATAATTGCCTTTCTAACAGACTACGAAGATCCATTTCTCTATACGAAGAGAACTTAAATAGTGCACGTGATAACCCAAACCACCGCCACTCTGCCAGTAACATGCAATTCATTCTGCTGGGTGAGGAAACCCTGCATAACCTAGGCATTCATGAATTCCATTCACTGAGCAATCAATCTATTCTTAAAAAGATGTGGCTGTTTGAGTCTACAAAATAGACAGAATATCTGTTTGGAATACCTGTACAATGTTCTAAATATAATTTGACATTTGCATGAAATGTTCTAGTAATGTAAAGCTTTTAGTGCTCAAGCTCAAGGTAGGATGAAGTGCTTGTTATTTTACAGGGATAAAACAGCACTTCAGGGGCTTTTGGCACTGAGGCAGTGGCAAGAATAAGAAAAACTGATGAGACAAGGTTGAGCTGCTTCATAAGACCTATCGAAAAGATAAACTTTTTAATGCAATAAAATTTCTTGAAGAAATGTCAGGTTTTTTGGGAGGTTGAGGCTGATGGATCACCTGAGGTCTGGGATTCGAGACCAGCCTGGCCAAAATGGCAAAACCCCGTCTCTACTAAAAATACAAAATGTAGTCAGGTATGGTGGTGCATGCCTGTATTCCCAGCTACTTGGGAGGCTGTGGCAGGAGAATCACTTGAACCCAGGAGGCGGAGGTTGCAGTGAGCTGAGATCACACCATTGCACTCCAGCCTGGACAGCAGAGTGAAACTTCATCTCAAAAAAAAAAAAGCCTTAGCCACAGTGGTGGGTGGGTGGTTCTTCCACTGGGGCAGGTAAAAACTAAATGTAAGAGTACATATTTAAAAAACATTATTTGCCAGATATAAAAATTATATTTAATTCACTCTCCTTCAAATAGTCAATAGAATAATCTTAAGATTCTATTCTATAATATCAACACATAAATAATATAACCCAAAACAGCATCCATCTAGTAAATTGACACATTTGTCCCCCATAAAATATGACTATTACATTTGTTCAACAGCCACCTTCAGAAGCAAAAACCAATATGGTAAAAAAAAAAAAAAACAATCGGGATTCTCTTTAAGAAATGGCAGGGAGGCTGGGTGCAGTGGCTCACATCTGCAATACCAGCACTTTGGGAGGCCAAGGTGGGCAGACCACTTGAGGCCAGGAGTTCAAGATCAGCCTGGTCAACATGGCAAAACCCCATCTCTACAAAAAAAATGCAAAAAAATTAGGCAGGCATGGTGGCACATCCCTGTAATCCCAACTACTTGGGAGGCTGAGACACTAGAAACGCCTGAACCTGGGAGGCAGAGATTGCAGTGGGCAGAGATTGTGCCATTGTACTCCAACCAAGGTGGACTCAAAGAAAGAAAGAAAGTGGGGAGGAGGGAGGGAGGGAGGGAGGAAGGAAGGAAGGAGGGAAGGAGAAAGAGACGGAAAGAGGGGAGGGGAGGGGGGAAAGGGAGGAGAGGGGAGAGGAGGGGGAAGAGGAGGGGGAGGGGAGGGGGAAGAGGAGGGGGAGGGGAGGGGGAGGAGGAGGGGGAGGGAGGGGGACGAGGAGGGGGAGGGGAGGGGGGAAGAGGGGGAGGGGAGGGGAGGAGGAGGCGGAGGGGGAGGGAAGGAGAAAGAGAGAAGCGGAGGGACAGTGGGAGAGAGGGAGGAAGGGAGAGAAGGGAAGGAAGGGAGGGAGAGAGGGCGGGAGGGAAGGGAGAGAGAGAGGGATTCAAAAGCAAGGCACAGAAATTAATAGAATAATAGCAGAGTTCCCCTAAAAGACCTCCCACATCACCACTGGAAAAATTCAACAGGAGCTAAATGGCAGGAACTGAAAACCCAGTTAGAAGGGAAATTTGTCCTCAACTAACTTTCACTTGCTAGACACTGCACAGATGTCACTATGTGCCAGGCACTATGCTGAGCTCAAGGGGCTAAGAGCACAGGCTTCCTCCTGACTTGCATATGGAGTGTAGTGGTCTATTATTTTATTCTACTTTTTTATAATTTGAAGATAGGCTTAAAAGTTGGGAGATCTCACAGAAACATCCAGATATCTGGCGTCTTGAAAAAAAAGGAAAGATGTAGCAACATGGGCCCAGCATTCCCTCAGTGGCAACTTTCAGCTGGAGCGGAGCAGCCACTGACCCCTCCAGCAAAGAACATGCCTTCCAGTCAGCTTGTCAAAGTTCCCACCATACCCTGCTAGCAGCCCAATAACAAACTCAGAGCTTTACTTATTTATGCTCTCTGTCTGGCCCCAGAGGTCCTACGGTTTGTTACGCCCTTTCCAGGAAAAAAAAAAAAAGTCAGGGGCGGAGGAAACAAAAGTGTCCCCTGTGCCTAAGAAGTCCAGCGTCTAATGGAGGGGGCAGACAGGAATGAGAAATTACAACAGGGTAGAATACAAATGACAGTAGAAGAACGGCCAGGGTTCCACAGAACCCTAAGGACGGTGAAGGAAGGTGCAACTAACTCCACCACAGGGAGTACCGGTATCTAGAACATGTCACCGAAGAGAGGACATTTGGAGAAGGTCTTGCAGGAGAAGAGGCTGGCCAGGTGGCAAAGTAGGAGCAAGTCACTCTGCACGTATGAAGGGGTTAGAGAGCTGAAAGATGGGGAGTTTTCTGGAGATGGGTTAGGCAGAGAAGGGACTTCTATTGCCCACCATGCTAACAATTTTCAGCTTCAGTCTGGGGCAATGGGGAGCCAAGCGAGTTACTTAAGCAGAGGCTGACATGATCAGCTTTGTTTTTTTAAGGAAAGATGCTGGCAGCAGCATAGAAAACAACCTGGAACAAAGAGCCCTTGCTGGCCCACACCCCAGTGGGTACTAAGCCGAACCCCTTTGTGTTAGCTTCCCAGTGCTCAGAAACTGTCCATTCTCTGCCAATGATACACATCTTGACTACCTCGCCTGTTCTGTTTTTAAAGACTGATATGGGTCAATGTCGTTCTCTCTCTTGAACTGGCATAATGAAAAAACTATGAGTTAATATATAATGCAGACATCTGAAAGGGCCAAAACGCAGTAACGTTAAGTCTCTACTGATGATCTCAGTTCCACACAACAGACACCCTTTCACCTACCATGTTTCCTTTCCTCACTTACATATCTCCGACAGTAGACAACCTGAAAACTTCCAACGAAATAGCCCCCACCCCATGTGAGGCACAAGTGTGATTTTCCTTATATTTAAATCACTACAAACATATCCCCCAACACTATTCTCAACTACCTGTAAAGGAGCCACCCAGAATACACCAGAGTAACTCGAACTTTCAGGCAAGATTTAAGGGTGATAAAGAAATGTGTCCAAAGGAGAATCATTTTACTCAGTAGCCTACTGATGAAGCAATAGCACGTAAAGATCGATCGCAAGAATATCAGGCTGTTGCACAGAAATGAAATGAGATGCAAATAATAGACAGGTCCCCTCGAAGCAATACAAATTAAATTGGGTTTGCTTTTCTCCCTCAAATTCAATCAAATCTTATATAAAAAAAAAAAAAGGCTAAGATAGGGAAATCAACAAGAGGCTTTTAAAAATGGTCTCAAAGTTGTAATAACCCCAAACAGACTATTTCCCAGACTTTTTATTGTTATAACAAACAAACCCATCTTTCACTTCTTGTCATTTGCAATTACCGTGCCATAATTGAAAATCAGTGAATCACCACAGGGCTTAGGGGAGAGAGAGGCTACTAGCTCTGAGCTGTCACTGTAATCACCACAGAATAAACAATATCAAGAGTTCTTTCTTCAGCATTTTTAACCTATATATTGCAGAGTCTCTAAAAATGTTATACTCTGTAATTCCCCTCTTTCGCTAAAGATGGCATGACATTTCAAACCATTTTCCCCTTCAAAATACTCTTTTTCTCTTCTTCAACAGCCAATATGATGTCCGCCTTCAAAGACTTCAGCATAATTTTGAAACTATTTGTAGGAGCCAAGAATTCAATTAAGAGAAAAACTATCTTGAAAGGGTTTAGGCAATTCAGCCAATTAAACCTCTTGTAACTGTGCTGAGAAAAGAACCCGAATTGCCTAACAAAAGGCTACACAAAATCAAAAGGAACAGACTAGAGTAGGGGGTGAAGGACTCCAGGAATCTGGGTCCCATCTGCACCTCTGCCCATTAACACGGCTGCACAATGCCTCCAGCCTCTGACGGTTAGGAACGCCTGGGAGAGTACAGACCTCCATTCTGCAACCGGCTGCAGAACCTCAACTGCTCATCTGCGGCCTCTTCATCTCCCCTCCTGCAAGAGGATTTAACCAATGTCCCTAGCTATGTTTCAGTTTATAGACTTTAAAAGGTCACCTTCAGGACCACTGCACTTAATTCTTTGTTAGTAAGCTCTGTGTCCATGAACTGATGAACCAAGATTCACTCGCTAATTAAAAGGAAGGAAGGGAATCTGCCTTGGTGTGGGAGAGAGGGTCTTACCCTTTCCTCTGTTCTGAAGCCAGATTCTCCTGCCCCCTCACTCACCTTGGTTGCCTCTTCCACACTCTCCCTCAGGGCCTGCAACTCAGCATCGTACTGTTCCTTCAGCTTGTCCATCTCCTGATCGTGGCTGGAAACCTCTTCTTTCAGGGCTCCCTTCAGGGCAGTGAGTTCACGCTCTCGCTTTCTCAAGAGGTCTTCTTGCTCCTCCTTGGCAATCAGCAGATCTTGAAGATCCTGTTTTGCCTGTAAGAGTTCCTAAAGACATGAAACACGGAGGGAGGAGGTGACGATGAAACATCTTGTTGAGAGGCCCTGCATCTCCCCTCTGGTTCTGTCCCCAGATGCATGGCCATCTCACCTGGCCTTGCCACTCTCTCCTTCTTCATCCCACACACCTGTTTAGACCATTTCCTCCTCTCCCTCCGCACTTCTCAGAGGCCATCATTCCCTTGGATTCCTCTGTCTTTGCTCCTTGGAGATTTGATTGAATTTGAGGGAGGAAGTGGAAACCAATGCAAATTTCACTGCCTTGGGGAGCACATGTGTATTTTCCATCCGTTTCCTTTCTGTGTGGTTATCTGCTGCCCTTGCTCTTGCCCTGTATGTGCTGTTGCTTCACAGGGAACAGGCCAACTTGCCTACCTTGTTTCATATCCCCGGGACCCTGAGTGTGCTCAATCCTTCATCCACATTCCTCAGTCTCAGGACGTCTTTGCCCATTCTTCTTCTATCTCATTTGCCCATCTGAGCAGAGTACACTATTCACAATTTCCCCTTCTTAACTGCCAAGGGTTCCTAAGGAAGCTCACAAAGCTGGGGCAACAGGCTCCACTACAAATCAGTTACTTGAGCCCAGTATGTCAGGCTAAAGGCTCGGCATTCCTTTTCCTCCAGCATCTTTGTCCCACACCTTCTCAGTTTTCCAACTCAGAGCTCGCCCTCACCCACAGCTTTACTGCTCCCTCAGCCAGAGTGATGTGGGCACCTTTGCTCCCTCTCTACCTCAAGCTCTGTCTGCACTCCTGGCCTTCTTCCTTCCAGAGTCCCTCCATAGAAAATGTGCTGTCCCCTGCCAACCCGCTCCCAGTCTTCACTCCATCGATTATTGGCATCGTTTATCTTTGTGTCCCCACCCAAATCTCATCTTGAATTATAATACCCATAATCCCCACATGTTGAGGGAGGGACACTGTAGAAGATGATTGGATGATTGGATCATGGGGTCAGTTTTCCCCGTGCTGTTCTGGTGATAATGAGTTTTCATGAGATATGATGGTTTTATAAGGAGCTTTCCCCGCTTCACTCACTCTCTCTCTCTCTCTCTCCTGTCACCATGTGAAGAAGGTGCCTGCTTCCTCTTCTGCCATGATTCTAAGTTTCCTGAGGCCTCCCAGCCATGTGGAACTGTGAGTCAATAAAACCTCCTTTGTTTATAAATTCCCCAGTCTCAGGTAGTTATCTTTATAGCAGCGTGAGAACAGATTAATACGGTTGTCTTTTCCTTCTGCCATTTTGTTCCTATCCATATGGCTACCTGCTAAACTTCACAACCAAAATGTTTGAAGGCGTAATTTCTGTTCACTGCCTCTACGTCATGACTGCCCATTCGCTCCTTAATCTCTTGCTATCTGATTTTTGTCCCTACCCTATCAAGACAGTCCCTTCCGAGGTCATCATGACATTTTCATATCTGATGGCCTTTCCCCAGTCCTCAATTCTCTTTACGCCTCTTTCATACTCCCTTCCTGTCTCTCCAAGATGCCCTTCCTCCTTGTAATGCCAAGATAACACAGACTCCTGTTTTCTTCCCTCAGATCGCTTCTTCTGTGATAATATTGTCTGGCTTTTCTCTCCCTCTTCCCAAAATCTATGATGATCTCCAAGAATAGCAACTTTGCATTCTTTATTCTCTTTTAGCAAAGCTCATCTATTGTTTTTTCAAGTATTAATTCTATGTAAATGACTCCTAAGCCTTTACCTCTCACCCTTCTCTGAGTTCAAACCTGCAGTAACACATCCAAAACCTAGCTGGCTGCACCCATCCGGATGTCCTGTTGCACCTCGGATTCAGTAGGATTACAGTATCTAGAGGATTCATCATGCTCCTTCCTTCCCTCTTTGCCTGTTCACTGCTCTTATGAACAGCACTACCAGCTCCCTCAAGCTCAGAAACTTGGCAGTAACTTTGACTTTTCTCTCGTCCTGATCTCTCACAACCAAAAAGTTAGTTCTGCAACATCTTTGATCCTTTCAGTCACCTCCCTAGGTAAAGCCCTCCTCACCTCCTGTGCAGGTGGTTTACAATAGCCACTCAGCTGCTCCCCGCATCCAGGCTCTCACCTGCAGCCTCCATGGCAATCCATGCAGCATCTTCTGTCTGGAGTGCCCTTCTCTCTTGTGAGCCCTCCTCTCCCTGCCTTTCAGAAAATCTTTGAAGACCCAGATAAAATACCACCTCCTCCAAGAAGTCTTCCTTGAATATCCCTCTTGAATACTCATCCCATTTTAGCTGTTCTTCTCCAGTACTTAATACTTTTTACTTTATATTCTATATATTTTAATCATTTTTCTAATGTCCCCCATTTGACTCCCAGACTACCCTTCCTTGAAAGATACAGATCTGATTTACTATATTTTTGATGCATAGATTAATAATATTGGGAACAATTATCTGTTCAAATATAAATAAACAAGTGTAGTACAGCAGGTGTCTGGAGATGTGAGAATTCTAAACTAGTCAGTTATTTCACTTGTGGTTTCTGCATAAGAACACGACTCTGTTCTCTTGGAGCCCCTGGAGAATCAGAAGCATGGCTGCCACTTGGAGACCCAACGCTCCAGAGATGATAAGCTACTTTCCATCAAGAAGTGTGTCCATGATGAGGGAAGAAAACATTTCATTGATTTAAGTACAACTGACAACAAGATCTCTTTCTTTTTCTTTAGGACATGCACCTCCATTGAACCAATGGAACCTCTACAATCCCAGCGTAGGGCAGCATTGCATAGCCTAAGATTTTGCTCATCAAGAATCTAACTAGCAGGCATTGCCAAGCTCAGATGAAATGTCAACAGACCCATCCAGGTAAAAAGGCCAGCTCTGGCTCTTTTAAAGCACCAAACCCAGAGCTCTTATGAAAATATAACCCCTCCTAATATTTATCAAAGAGGACGCCCTTTTGCAGCTGCCCAGCCCCTTCTTAAGGAAGATCAGAGTCTCTCCTGAATTCCTGTTGCTTCTGGTTACCCCCCAGGGCTTCCTGGAACCTCCTGCCAGCATCTTGAGCACAGGCCCTGTGATTCTGACCCCTGTTTCCTGCTTTTACTCTCACACGTTTCTCAATTGTTTGGACGATAAGACAATTCCTCTTCCCACACTTATCTTTTCCAGCATATCTCTGTGTTTTGTGTTGCCTTTTGTGGGCTGCCGCCAATGTGTGTCAAGACTGAGGTTTTTATGGTTTATTCTGCACTGACATGCTGTTATCTGTGGCTGGGGCTGTCGCTTAAGTGGACTGTGCAAAACAAATCCAATCAGATTACACCTCACCCTATCACTGAGCAGCACTTGAAGTTTTCCAGAGTAGAAACCAAAAGGTACACGAAGTTTCAAAAACTTCACTTCATCACCTGGAGGCTTAATTATATCAAGTCAAAGAAGGGAGAGAAAATGCAAACACTTCAAAATGTAAGTATACCTCCATAAGAGGTAACCTTGCCTCTCTGTGGACTCCAGTTAAAAAAAAAAAACAAGAGAAACCATTTGGGAGTGGCGAGAGCTAGAAAAGTTGACTGTGTTTGGTCCTTACATGTCTTAAGAACTGTGCTGAGCATTTCTAACCATCCAGAGAGACGGATATTCAAGGAGATGAAGATTACTATTCTTCATAAACAAAAGAAGCTCTGAGATGCCAACATGCCTAAGATCACACAGCCTTAAAAGCAGCAGAGTCAAGACTGGGAACCCAGAGGGGTCCTAATGCCCCTTCTCTTCACTACAGTCACTACAGACCTGACCAGAAAACCACACAGTCGAGAAGGCTAAGGAGCAAACAGTCACAATGGTGTTTGCCCATTAGATGCTGTTATGGTTTGGCTTTGTTCCCAGCCAAATCTCACCTTGAATTGTAGCTCCCATAATTCCCTTGTGTTAAGGGAGGGACCCAGTGGGAGATGACTGAATCATGGGGGTGGTTTCCCCCATACTATTCTTCTTGTAGTAATTCTTAAGAGATCTGATGGTTTTATAAGGGGAAACCCCTTTTGCTTGGCTCTCACTCTTCTCGTTTGCCATCATGTGAGATGTCCCTTTCACCTTCCACCATGATTGTGAGGCCTCCCCGGTCACGTGAGTCCATTAAACCTCTTTCTTTTGCAAGTTGCCCAGTCTCAGGTATGTCTTTATCAACAGCGTGAAAACAGCCTAATACAGATGCCAACAAAACAGAGCACTGTGTTTGGCTGGAAGGCCCTTTAAGGAAGTCCACCTTCTTAAACTAAAGAAATACAACCAGAGCCTGAAGAGACAGGCAGAAGGAGATCTGGGAGACAAGGGAACGCACTACGGGACCAGCTGTTCATCTGTAGCAACAGCAGCAAGTGGCCACCCTAAGACCACGCGCACTGAGAAACAGGCACCAGGATGTCCAGAGTGGTCATGTATTTGCTCACAAAAAGCTTAACTTCACACACCACTTATGCATGAGCACGCCACATCAAAATGAGGAAGACACGAGTCTAGGCCCTCTTTGCATAAGTGCTTCCCAGAAGTTCCACAGGGTCCCTACGTCTGGCCCATGCTCACAGAAAGGAGAAATGAAAGGTTTCATAGCAATGGTAACTGACAGAGAATTCTGTCATTTTTTTGTTTCAGAAGGATGGCCTAGGAAACATCACATGGCTGGCGAGAATCATGATATTTTTGGTTGCCTTTTTTATTAAAATGTGTAGAATGTTCAATAATATCATTACAAAAGAAGGTTTAGAGGACTAATTTCTGAGCACAATCTCTCCTCAAACCAATACAATTTTATAACCAGACTATTTTAATGAGACTGAACTACCTGCATCTTGGCAAATGCCAGGAATAAAACACCACAAGATTCTGTTGGAGTGAGGCCCATCTCTCATGCACTGCAGGCTCCCATCAGACATTTGATAATGAGAAAACCCCACCATCGTGGCACTTAGCAAACTGTCTCATGCTGACCTGTTGCCCTCAGAATGGAAGGTAATGCATTCATGACAAAAAAGATGTGGCAGTCTATTCTACAATCATTTTTGTAACGTGAGCTGAAAAAACAATTTTCAGAATCATGTATTTAAGAATAACAAAGTCAACCTATTGTTGGTCAACTTTATGGTTTATGCTAAGAAAACAAAGTATTTTCTACTATTTCTCCCTTCCTTCCTTTTTTAAAAAAACTGTTTTATTTATTTATTTATTGTTTTAAGTGAAAGCCAGTATGTTGCAGAAGTAAAGAAACAAAAGATGGCTACTCCATAGACAGAGCAGCCTATTCTTTCTTAATGTTACTTTACTGATTGCATACAGAGGCCCAATGTTATTTAACAAAATGTGACATATTAAAAGAGATTTCATGTAAAATCTGGTCCATTATGCAGGACCTGCGAAACTTGGGCCTTCAATCTTTTTCAAACATTCGAAAGCGTAAGTGTTAACTGCTCATTGTGTTAAGAGTCTGTCTGTTCCAAGCTAAATGCCATGGGAAACTTGGCCACAACTATACTCTGTTATCAAATTCCCCTGGGCCACTTTTTATTAAGATATGAAGAATACATTGAAAGTGAAAAGGAGACAGGGTCTATTTTACTAGTGATATAAAAACTATAGATCCTAGTTCCAGTGTTGCTGACAAGTCAGAGGAAACTAGTAAAAACAAAGGGTGATTTTCTAGAGTGAAAGAAACACACTTTGGCACAGGGAAGCTAATTACACCCGAACTCATCGTGCAGCAAGGCAGCAGTAAATGATACAGTTCCTGGTATGGGGAAGAGACAAACAACCTGAAAGCCAGCAACTTCAGGCTGTGGCCACTCCAGGTTTAAGGAAATACGTACTATTGCCCACTCCTGTATCTCCCCTCTACCCTGAACACATCACCAAAACGGTCTCGTATCGTTATCTTATTATCAGTATAAAGAAATCAAGAAACTAATTATATTCAATTAATAGCTATGTAGTATGGAGTGTTTAAAGAGGAGAAGTATACAGTTCATTTCAGAATTATTCCTTTTTTTTTAAGTGACATTTTAAAAGTAATTTAAATACAAAAGAATTATTTATTCACTTGCTCTGTTGCTTGTCACTGTGCTAGATATGAAATGGGGAAAGAAGCAAAGACGATTGCTCTTGAATTAGCTGGCTAGTAGAAGAAAGATACAAAAAAATGTCCAAGGCGAGTGAGCTAAATAGAGAGTCTAAAAGGACAGGGGATATCGGGGCAACTCGCAGTGACAGGTGTCAGTTATCGGAGAAAAGCAGCAACTTCTGCGACTTCCCAAGAGCTAAGGTCACATCTTTCCCTTTTACAACCAATAAAGTGTCTACCCAAGGAATCACAGAACATGACAGTGTTTTATCTGCTGTTTAAATCTGTTCATGAAGCTATACTTTTATTGAAAGTCATAAACTGTTCAGTGACATCATTTCTGGGAACGTATCCTTAGAAAAATTTTTTAAAGTCATAAAAGGATAAATGTAAAAAATGTTCCCCACAACCCTTGCGCATAATTGCAAAAAAGGGAACAAATGTAGGAAAATGGTTATATATATTGTGGTTTATCTTCTTAAAAATGAAATACAAAGCATATAAAGTATAATAAGAAAGAACGTTTTCGACATCTTAATTTTTGAAAGCAGATACCAAAACATTATGATTGTCCCTATATTATATAGAGATGGGTACATGAAACCTATCAAGAGATAGGGAGGCAAACAGAAAATATGAGTACATCCCCCTCATTTTTAAATTTTAATTGTATATTGTTTTAATGTTATTTCAGTGATAAATACACATATTTTCTCGTCTTTGTAATTCTGAGCCCTGAGAGAAAACACTGCCATGAAAAGCAGTATAATACTAAGAATATGGTGGTTTTTAAGGAAACATTGGATAGAAAGAGAAATACTAGTTGGTAAAGAACAAGGCTGAGGGCTTATCAGGAGAAAAGGTCTGAAAAGGTGCAGAGAGATGGTCATGTGCAGAAAAGAGACAATTCCCCTCCTCTGCCCATGTGAAAAATGGATTCATAAGAACTCCCGGGCTCAGTGGCCACAGTTGCTCCTCCCTGAGCTCCTGCCAAGTCATCAGGAAGAGAAAGGATAAGTTCTAAAAAGCAGGACCTAAAATCTCTCCTGGGGAATTATTTCAAAACTGGAGGGGAGGAGTGAGAAAACAGTAGACAACTGAGACTTAAAGACTTAAAGACGGTTCCAGGGGCTTCGGAGCCAGAAACTTCTGGTCCCCAGGAAGGGACAGAGAAAACACCTAAGCCCAAAGAGGGAGGCAGTAGAAAATGAAATATTAACAAAGTACCTTCATGTTTTAGCTTTTTTGTGTGTGGTTTTGTTCTAAATTGTGTATCATCTCTTCATGGGGCTATTCCTACAAACCACGCTTACGAAGAAGTAACTTCCAAAACTATGCTAGAATATAGGTGATGATAATGTTACAGCAAATATCAAACACCTAAATGGGTACAGAGATAAAAGTCCTGTCTTTTTCTGACCCTCAGTTATACTTATTCCCTCCCCCAAAAATGCAGACATTCAAAACCAATATTTTTGCTCTCCAATAATTTCATATATGTGTGTCTCATACCTCAACAAGATAATAATTTAATTCAGAAAAGAGAGAATACATAATAAAACCCCATAGTAATTAGCAAACGCCAAGCGGAGGGAGTTAAGTGCATCCACGGACTCACAGATCAGATCATAAAAGCACAAGTGGAGCAGGTGTGCACATCAGAAAGTGGCTCACAGCGCACAAACCCTGGCAACCCCATCTTTCCAGGCAGGTGGGGCTTGTCTTAACACCTGACCCCTCAGCCCCGCTTACCTCAATCAGAGCCCCCTTCTCCCTGTCCTCCGATCGCTTTGCGCTGTCCAGTTCATCATGCATTTCTGAGAGCTGGTCTTGAAGATCCCTGATCTCAGTCTGATGCTGCTCCCGTTCCATCTTCACCTGGAACAGCCTGACAAGGAAAGCAGCCTGTTAGAGAGGCTCTCCTGGGCTCTGCTTATTTCCATCCAGTCTGACTTCTGACCTTCAGAGGGCTACACAAGCCCCAAGGAGCCTCCCCATTCTGTATTCCGCACTGAGCAAGGATCTCTAAAGCCCCAAGGAGCCTCCGCATTCTCTACTCCGCACTGAGCAAGGATCTCTAAAGCCCCAAGGAGCCTCCCCATTCTCTATTCAGCACTGAGCAAAGATCACCAACCTGAAAAGGCGCCTGAGAAGAACTCACGCCATGATCTAATTGCCCAACAAGAGGATAAATCAAACTCAGATGAAGTGCGTATGGTTATACAAAGATATTTTCTCCCCAAAAGGAGATGGTAGAGTACTAGAATTTGAATATAGAAGAGAAAGAAATGACAAAAAAACAACCTTTTTTTCCCCTACTAAAGCCACCCCTTCTTCCACTGTCCACTATCCCAGTGTTCTAGACCAGGAGAGTCAGCAAATTATGATCTGCGGGCCAGTTCAGCCCACTGCCTGTTATTGAAAAGCTTTACTGGAACATGGTCATGCTCACTCATTTATGAGTGGCCATTTCATTTCATGATACAATGGCAGAGCTGAGTGTTTGCAACAGACTGTATGACCTGCAAACCCTAAAGTAACCACCACTTGATGAAAAAAAATTTCCAAAACTGCTCTGAACCAAACTCACCAAGTACTATACCTTTTTATTTTGTAAAGCTTTTACTGTACCGTATATTTTCTGATTTTTTTCTTACTAAATTCTTTTCTGCAAATGGCCTCTATGATTGTTTTATTTTATTTTGTTTTATTTATTTATTTATTTTTTGAGGCAGAGTTTTGCTCTTGTTACCCAGGCTGGAGTGCAATGGCGCCATCTCAGCTCACCGCAACCTCCGCCTCCTGGGTTCAGGCAATTCTCCTGCCTCAGCCTCCCGAGTAGCTGGGATTACAGGCATGTGCCACCATGCCCAGCTAATTTTTTGTATTTTTGGTAGAGACGGGGTTTCACTACGTTGACCAGGATGGTCTCGATCTCTTGACCTCGTGATCTCCCGCTTGGCCTCCCAAAGTGCTGGGATTACAGGCTTGAGCCACTGCGCCCGGCCCTCTATGATTGTTTTAAAAGCAAAACGCCACCATCAAAATTCTAAGGACAATCAAATGCTTTTATTATGTAATGTACTCTTTTTCTGGCATTCCCCCTAGATTTCATTCCTACTTAACTTTCCACCGAAGGCTTCTGTCATGCCCACAGGACGTCATAGCACCATGTATTCTCAAACCTTGGTTTAGATTCCTTTGCCACAGATTTTAATACAACACAAAGGCAGGGGCATCTTGGACCTGACTTTCCTTCTCTGTAGACTCAAGAGTAGGTATAAGCACCCATCGCAAACACCAGCACCATCCAGGATGAAGCGCATAGGCTGAGAGCTCATGGAGACCATGTGATGCATGCTTTTTAGAAGCTGGGCTCGGGCTCCTTTAACTCTGTCTTTCTTTTTTTTTTTTTTTTTTTTTTTTGAGACGGAGTTTCGCTCTTGTTGCCCAGGCTGGAGTGCAATGGCACGATCTCGGCTCACCGCAACCTCCGCCTGCTGGGTTCAGGCAATTCTCCTGCCTCAGCCTCCTGAGTAGCTGGGATTACAGGCACACGCCACCATGCCCAGCTAATTTTTTGTATTTTTAGTAGAGACGGGGTTTCACCATATTGACCAGGATGGTCTCGATCTCTCGACCTCGTGATTCACCCGCCTCGGCCTCCCAAAGTGCTGGGATTACAGGCTTGAGCCACCGCGCCCGGCCAACTCTGTCTTTCAATATCACCACTCAGTGTTCCCTGCTTCCCTCTTACCTGCCAGGAGGTCCCCTTTAAGGGCTGAAATTGTGTAAGGCATACTTCAGAATGCACGAAGAATGCTAAGAATTACTAACCTTTCTGTTTGTCAGTCTACATGTGTAGCCAGCTTCGCAATTTCATAGGGATAAGAGGAAGAAAAGGAAGAGTCAGCTGCCTTTATAAATATTTGGAAGGCTGGGTACTATTAAAAGGACAGGAAGGTTCTGGCTACATGTCATAGAGAACCTGGAAAGGGGAACGGGCTCTCAGGCTACACTTACTCCTCCAGGTTCTTCCGGAGCTCCCCTTCACTTTCTTCCAGTCGTTGCTGCAACGTGGAGTTCTCCTCCACCTCTTTGTTGTGTTGGCTTCGGAGCTCTTCCAGGTTTACTCGCATCCTGTCTCTCTCTTCTTTGATGTTCTGTTGATTCTAACGGGAGTCAGTGTGATTATAAAGTATCTCCACTGTACCTTAACACAGCCCCACAGAAACCCACTTCTCAAGTAGCAGACTCCATATCTTCACACTTACATTATTGAACAACTTAGTCAAACACATAATTAAGGTATGGGAGTTCTTAACTAGAAAGAACATCAAATATTTATATTTAATGAACTGTAATACTTGTAAAAGAGAACACAGACACAGCTAAACCTCACTCTGCTGTTTCTATGACTGAGCTCAGGTGTTTTAGATACATTTAGTTTCCTACTGGCCTGCCTAAATACAACAGTGTTTCTTTTACTCTAAGCAAACAGTCTGGATAGGCTTTGGTTACATTTAAAAAAAAAAAAAAAAGATTCTTTGGAAAACAGCAGCCAAATACAGAGGAATTTACTCAGTGATTACAGGAATGCTTCTTTGGGGGGAAAAAAACCCTAGCTTTCACTTCACCTGGTCATCCCAATGCAAGTAAAATATTCTTTATCAACCAAAATAGAAACGGAAAAAAATAACATAAAGGAAAAACCGGATACCTTAACTTCCAGTTGAAGCTGTCTCTGAAGTTCAGCCACTTCCTTGGTCAAATTGTTTTTCTGTTCCAGTAGATCTTTGACTTCAGATGTGGAATTTGAAGTCTATAATTAATTGCAAAGATATATTAATGTAAATGTTCAGGATGCTTTATTTTAATTATCTTCCCCATCCAAATATAATCAGTGCAGTAACAGATGAGAAACAACACTAAAGATGTTCACATCCAATTACAACATTAGCCCCTACAGGGAATCTTCTCTGACTTGGTGGGCAGAGTTGATGTTGCTGGCCCCCTTGGAACTCCAGTGAACTTTATTCTACAGCATTTGCCAATCACAGGAATCATTCCATCAGATACCTCAACACGAGTCCAGTATGACTAAAACTTACAGAGGTGGCATATTTGTTAGAAGTATGTAACACATTCTGTAGACTATTATAAAATAGGAACACATTAAATTTAGAATACTGAAACTTAAAAAACTTCTCCATAATAAATTCTGTATTCAAGAAATCAATGGTTAGCCAAAAAATCAGCAATAAAATCTTTTTGTAAATAAATTGGGGAAAGACATACATTTTTTTTCTATTTTAATGGCAGAACACAGTTTAGCTTTAGTGTTTCTTAAGAGTGGTTTGAGAATTACTACATCAGGATATTATAAACTGTGGGGGGTCAGGGACCAGGTTTTATGCATCTTTGTATCTAAAGAACCCAACAAGTCTCAGGTATTTCATCATATCTCAATAAATGATTGTTAGAATTCTGGTTTTGCCATGATAGAGTAGCTAATATCAGATTGACCCACCCAGCAAAAACTATGAAAGCTAGACAAAAGTATATAGAACAATTGTTTGCAGGCACTGAAAAGCAAGCAACACAGAGTTATGATCCCTACAAAGGAAAAGATAGAAGGTAGCCCCACATTCACCCTGGACTCTCCATGACTGCATTTCTAAACCACAGAACAGTAAAATTTTAAAAGCACAGACCATGTCATTAGGGAATAGCAAATTAAAACAACGAGGCCAAAAAAAAAAAAAAAAAAAAAAAAAAAAAAAAAAAAAAACAACGAGGCCAGGTGTGGTAGCTCACGCAGTAATCCCAGCACTTTGGGAGGCCCAGGCAGGCGGATCACCTGAGGTCAGTTTGAAACCAGCCTAGCCAATATGGTGAAACCATTTCTCTACTAAAAATACAAAAATTAGCCAGGCATGGTGGCACATGCCTGTAGTCCCAGCTACTCAGGAGGCTGAGCCAGAAGAATCGCTTGAACCCGGGAGGTGGAGGCTGCAGTGAGCTGAGATCATGCCACTGCACTCCAGTCTGGGCAAGACTCCATCTCAAAACAAACAAAAAAATGAGATGCCACTATATACTAATTAGAATAGCCAAACTTTAAAACACTGGCGACACCAAATGCTGACAAGGATACAGAATAACAGAAACTTTTATTCTTGGCTTGTGGGAATGCAACATGATAGATAATTTAGAAAACATTTTGGTTGTTTCTTACAAAACAAAACATGCTCTTACCAAACAACCCAGCAGTTGCCCTTTGGGTGTTTACCCAAATTAGTTGAAATCTCATGTCTACTCAAAAACCTGTACATGGATATTTATAGCAGCTTTATTCATAACTGACAAAACTTGGAAGCAATCAAGATGTCCTTAAAAGGCGAATGGATAAACTGTGGTATATCAGACTATGGAATATTAATACTCAATCCTAAAATGAAATGAGCTATCAATCCATCAGAAGGCAAGGGAAGGCTGGGCACGGTGGCTCATGCATGTAATCCCAGCACTTTGGGAGGCCGAGGCGGGCAGATCACCTGAGGTCAGGAGTTCAAGGCCTGCCTGGGCAACACGGTGAAACCCCATCCCTACTGAAAATACAAAAACTAGCCAGGTGTGGTGGCAGATGCCTGTGATCCCAGCTACTTGGGAGGCTGAGGCAGGAGAATCACTTTTGCCTGGGAAGTAGAGGTTGCAGTGAGCTGTGATGATGCCAGTGCACTCCAGCCTGGGCAACAGAGTGAGACTTCCTTTCAAAAAAAACAAAAAACAAAAAGGCATGCGAAAAATGCACATTACTAAGGGAAATGAGCCAAATTGAAAAAGCGATATACTGTGTGATTACAACTATAGAACACTCCAGAAAAAATAAAACCATGGAAACAGTAAAAAGACTATGGGTTGCCAGATGTTAGGGGAGAGAAAGGAACAAACAGGCAGAACAGAGGATGTTCAGGGCAGTGAAACTACTCTGTGTGATATTGCAATGATAGATACACATCGTTGTTCGTTTGTCAGAAGCCTGTAGAATGTGCAACACCAAGAGCGAACATTAACGTGAACTACAGACGTCTTTGGGTGATAATGATGTGCCATCATAGGTTCCCCGACTGTGAGAGGTTCACCCCTGCTGCGTGATGCTAACAGTGGTGGAGGGCATACGAGGGGACAGGACAGTAAATGGGAACTGACTGTACTTTCCACTCAATTTTGCTGTAAACCTAAAACTATTCTGAAAAATAAAATTTGATAATTTAAGGGAGAACAATGTCCAGAGAGTGGCAACTCACTAATGAAGGAAACAGAGATTAGAGGTTGAGATGGTAAGCAACAGGAATTTTAAGGTCAGAGTATGAGAGAGGAGATAGTTTCATAGTAGAAATTCCAAGAACCTGCAATAAGTACTCCCTGGATTCTTGGATGATTCCTAAGCTGTATATGAGCAAATCAAGAGTTCAACAGGACTGCAGAGAAGAGCTTTTAGGAGGCAAAGAACCCAACAAAAACTTCACAGGTTGCCCAATGCTAGGGATACACTATGGTTTCAATTCAATCAAAATATAGAAACCTTGGTGAACATTCCAGCATTCATTTGAAATCAAAGAAAGGAACATGGGTCACGTCTTAGGAGTAAGGGCAAAAACTTAAATAGACACCCCCTATAATCCATAGAAGAACCAACCACAAAGAATCAGGATAATCTGCAAGTAATTTAACTGTCAAAACAAAACTTAACATTCTTCAGGGAGAGATAACGCATTCCAGAACCTCTATAACTCGTCACTCATGCAGCCTACCATGCAATTAAAAAAAAATCCCTGGACATGCAAAGTAGGAAAAACCGACCAATAACAAATAAAATAGACAACAGATGCAGAGATAGCCCAGATACTGAAGTTGGCAGATAAGGACTTCAAATTAACTGAAACTAGCATTTTAAAAATAGAAACAATTATGGACAAAGGGTTTTTTGGGGTTTTGTTTGTTCTGTTTTGTTTTGAGATAGAGTCTTGCTCTGTCACCCAGGTTGGAAAGCAACAGTGCAATCTTGCCTCACTGCAACCTCCACCTCCCAGGTTCAAGCAATTCTCCTGCCTCAGCCTCCCAAGTAGCTGGGATTACAAACACGCAACACCACGCTAGGCTAATTTTTTATTTTTAGTGGAGATGGGGTTTCACCATCTTGGCCAGGCTGGTCTCGAACTCCTGACCTCAGGTGATCCATCTGCCTCGGCCTCCCAAAGTGCTGGAATTACAGGAGTGAGCCACCACCCCAAACCAAAAAAGGGATTTTTAAAATCAAGTTCCAGAGATAGTTAGATTCTGTAAAAATATAACAAAGTAGATGTTCTAAAACAGCAACACACAGTATCTGAAATTTAAGAACACCCTAGATCACAGGTCATTGTATCCTCAAACTTCTAGGCTCAAGTGATCCTCCTACCTCAGCCTCCTGAGCAGCTATGACTACAGGCATGAGCCACTATGCATGGCAATTTTTAAATATAGTTTTTGTAGACATGGGATCTCACTATGTTGCCCAGGCTGGTCTCAAACTCCTTGTCTCAAACAATCCTCCTACCTTGGCTTCCCAAAGTGCTGAGATTACAGGCGTGAACCACTGCACCCGGCCAAAGAAAAGTTCTTAAAAGTACCATTCTTTAAAAGAAGGATGAAAAAAAAAAAAACCCACATTCTCTTAAAGGCATCTAAAAGAATACGTTTTAAAGTAAGACTGACAGCCAAAAAAACAAGACTAATGAATTTGAAAGGACAATAGAAAATATCCAGAATATCTGATGCACTACACACACACACACACACACACACACACACACACACGAAAAGAGAGAACAAAGCACAAGAGCTATGAGGAACATCATCAAAATTTCTAACACACAGGTAATTGGAATCTGAGAAGAGCTGGGAGAGACAGCTCTTCTGTGATTTAGAAGAATGTGAAAGAAGCAACATTCAAATAAATAATAGCCAAGAATTTTTCAAATCCGATGAATCTATCAAGAGCTCAGTGAATCCCAAGAAAAAAAAATGAAAAACCACACTTCATACACACATCATAGTCAAAATCTAAAAACTGGCAATAAAGATAAAATATTAAAAGCACTCAGAGAGAGAAAGACACATCACTTTCAAGAGAATAACACTAAGAACGATGGTTGGCTTTCCAACGGAGCCAACTGGGGTCAAAAGACAATGTCTTCAAATTTATGAAACAGTAATTGTCACACTAGAGTTCCTGAACACTGAGAGCGAATGATAGATATTCTCAAACAATGCCCCTAAAAAGTACTACAGGATATTTTTAAAAAATAGTTTTCCAGCCTGCAGGAAACCAGTCCAAGATAGAAACACAGAAGTACAGAAAGGAATGAACAGTAGTGGAAACGGACTACATCTAAACGAAAAATTTGTAAGACCTCTCCAACAAAATTGAAGGAACAGTGCTGGGAGATGCTGAAGACATAAATAAGTGGGGAGAAAGTTCATGTTCACATCTAAGAATACCAATAACATGAAGACAAAAGTTCCACCAAATTTATCTACTCATTCAGTATAATCCCAAACAAAATTCCTATAGGCTTTTTTTTAAGTGGAAATTAACAAGCTGATAAAAGTTTATATGGAAAGATAAAAAACCTAGAAGAGCTAAGATAGTCTCGAAGAAGAATAAAGCTACCAGGTTTCAAGGCTTACTAAAGTTACAGTCATTGAACTGTATGGTAGTAGTGCAAGGAGAGACAAGTAGATCAAAGCAATAAAACACAGTCTAAGTGTTACAGA